TACTTTTTGCGTGTTAATTTTGCAAATTTTCTAGCAAATTATTTAAAAACTGCGTTAATATAATTTTGAGCAGTAAAACATGATTATAATCGAAAACAACATTGAATTAACTAAATGCGTACAAATTTTCATGCTAATTCGATAATGCATGCCAAAGTTATAGCCAATTTTATTTAGCTTGCGTGGGTGTTGCCAATACTTGTTCCATTGACTGTATGTGACCATACAGCCGTGTTTATAAATTTGTCATCGAGTGGTTACAATTTTCACCGAATAATTATCAACTTTCACTGACTTGGTTTTAAATTGTCCTAATAAATTTATAACCAGTTGGTGACAACTTCATAACCACGTCTGTAGCGTCAGATGCGTTTACTTTTGGTTATAATCGTAACCCCATTTCTAAGAGTGTATGTAGAAAGTATAACGCTTCCTGATAGATAAAGTGTAAGCCTCCGACTTGGCTGAAATTTTAAGTTTAAGTGTGGTCCAAGTCAATACAATCAACGTTTCTTGATGCAGTTTGTGCGATGGTCGGAATTAAATAGTCAAAATATTTTGGGTCAAAGCTGAAAAAATGGGCGATTTTTACCAGGCGGAGGAAGCAAACTAGGGCTGACAAATCCGGATACTCCGAGTTCGAAAAATCCGGATTTTTCGGATTTCAGATACTTCGAAATCCGGATTTCATTTAGAGACGAATCCGGATTTCCCTAACTTAAAGAGTCATATTTATTTACCTGTAAAGATTCAAATCTTGTCGAGAAGTGTGAATTTAAAAAAATTAGCATGCTATTCATTCCAAATATAGTTAGTTTATCCTATCCAACATCAAACACACTTATTTTAAATTCTACATTTTTTCAGTTCATGAACTGAGAAGAATGCTCAGAAATTACCTGCATCGTTGGAAAATTTTCCAGAAATATTGAAACTTCTAAAAAAGCTAAGATTGCAATTGAAATTAATAATTCAACTATCTGACATCTATCTGATTCGTTCAAATATCAAGGAAATAAATAATAACAATAAATAATTCAAATCCGGATTTAAATCCGGATTTGGGTCCCAAGAAAAACGCATAATCCGAAATCCGGATTTGAAAATTGGGATCGGATTTGTCAGCCCTTAAGTAAACCTCATGCCTATTCCCTTCTAAGGGAAAAATCGACCATTTATCAAGTTTGACTTCAAATATTTTGCTTAATTCTAACCATCGCACAAACTGCCTCAAAAAATGCTGGTTCTATGGACTTGGGCCACACTTAAACTTAACATCTTAGCCAAATCGGAGGGTTACACTCCGGACCATCGCATTGTTAAGGAATTTTTTTTAAAATGGTGGTGAATTTTTTAACAAAGTCTCGATGAGTTTCAATTTTCTGAAGGCTTGTTGCACTTGAGATCTCACCCTACAAAAAATGTTAAATTACAGTCAATGGAAAAAGTATTGGCAACCCCCACGCTAGCTAAATAAAATTGGCTATAACCATGGAATGCATCATACAATTGGCATGTAAATTTGTAGGCCTTTAGCAAATATAATGTAGTTTTCGATTATAGTCATGTTTTATTGATTAAAATTAGATAAACACAGTTTTTAAATAATTTGTTGGAAAATTTGCAAACTTTACCCGCAAAAAGTATTGGCAACCCTTAACTTAAAAAATCATAAATCAATGAAACGCCAATTTTATTATGACAAACTGCTTCTAATATTACGTAGCACCTCCCCTCGACGCAATACGAGCAAAAATACGTCGTGGAATTTATTCGACAAGTTCCTATATAACGTTTTTTTATATGGCTGCCCACACTTCCGTCGAACTTTTGACAAGCTCATTTTTCGAAGAGTGGTTTCCCACCAGTCCCTCTTTTCTCAATCCGGACAATCAGAATCACATCGGGAGACTGTGTGGCCAACGAAAGAAGCTTAACCTTTTCGATATCCAAAACCTTGCATCGTTAAATTGGCTACATGTTTGGGGTCACTGAATTTTCGGAATATAAAATTCTTTCATAGGTTAGATTTTTATCAAACAATTTCAAATTATCGTTTAGAATGATTATTTGGACCTCATTGGTCATGATTCCATCGATAATGACCAGCTACCTACGCCACGACCTAGTCATTTAACCCTAAACCATAATCGCTCCTCTTCTGTGTTTAGCTGTCATAGGAACATATTCGTTTTTGTGAGCCTATTATGGCATCCGCCAGACTTGAACCATTCAATTGGCTCCGAATAAGCAAAATATGCTTATGTCAGACCAGCAGAACATTTTTCATTCATTGGAAGTCTATTCAGGGTGGTATTTAGTCCATTCCAATTTATTGAGTTGGTTCGTTTTGGGGACCCTCGCGTCAGACGAGCTTCTGGACCCTGAAACCCCATGGCATGATTTTTGATTGATCACAATATTGCATGATATGTTGACCCCACAGTTGGTTCTCAAATTCAACATGGTTTTGGGAGCTGAAATCTTCCGATCTCGAGTGATAATTTGCTTGATTCATCAGTGGCTCGTGGGCGTAGGTGACTTTTTCCTTTCGCACCATGGAAAAGTAGAAACTGAGATTGCCATTTTGTATTTCTTGGCTACGTTTTCAATAGTAAATATGGAAAAGTATGTTTTCTCTTTGAATTTTCGATAAGAAAGCTTTTTTGTGAAAGAGACATGATTATTTCTCCCGGCGCCAATACAGCGCGTTTGGTGTCGCCATTTTTGCTCCAGACAACACAACTGTAGACTTAAAATGTAGCTAACGTCATATTTGGTCACCTAATTAACTTACCGTAATGAAATGTGGTAGCTGATTTAAAAAATTGTTTCGCGTAATTAATTTGGCCACATGTTGCCAATACTTTAGGCGGGTTAATTTTGCAAATTTTCCAACAAATTATTTAAAAACTGTGCTTATCTAGTTTTAATCAATAAAACATGACTATAATCGAAAACTACATTATATTTGCTAAAGGCCTACAAATTTTCATGCCAATTGTATAATGCATTCCAACGTTACAGCCAATTGTATTTAGCTGGTGTGGGGGTTGCCAATACTTTTTCCATTGACTGTATAGGCAAGTTGAGAAGGATACATAAAGACGTAGACGCTAAAGATTTGCTGTCCATAATTTTAAAATAAGTTCCTTGAGCAGAGATTCGACTAGAAGTGTGCCGATTTTGACGATGAGCTCATCGAGCCCTAGGTAAATATCCTAGTAATTAATTACTGTAATTAAATTACATACACACCTGTGTAAACCATGTACCCCAAAGTTTTTTTAAGATCATTACAGGTAGAAATTGTAGCTTAAAATGTGTGATAGTTTTCTACCGATGACGTTTAACTAACTCATTTTCACTGATAGGTATGAAACGTGTTAGACTGATAAGCTCGGAAATGTTCGGGTTGAGAAAGTTGGATTACATGGATGACCCCACATGTCAAAATTTCGAGAAAGTTTTTAAAACTTGGCAGCCGAACTTGTCCATAGAAGGATTTAGGGTATTACTTTTTAAATAAGACACTTTTTTTCACAGATACATAAATCCTATTGCGAGTAGTTTTATAAATCAAATTCCTTGTTTTAATTATTCAGAGAAATATGAGTCTTAATGCTAACTAATTTTTTGCACATAATCTTTCAGTTCAAAATTGGCACAACCGTCAGGATGTTGAACTTCATTCGAGAAAACGATCTTAAAGTGGGCTTCATCGATTAATTGTTGGGATTCGTTTGGTTGCAGTATGAAAATGTACAAGAATTGTACAGGGTGGCTTAAATGCTACAATGGAGAATTTGTCAATGGGAAAAATTCGTAAATTTCTCGTAATTTTGTCTCTGAAATTCAACATTTCAAGAATTTTGTCACTAGTGTTCCACCAGTTGTGGCAATAATTAATAAAAATCTTAATCCTAAATCTTGTAACTAATGGAGATTTAAGGAATTTTCCCATTGAAAAATTATCCTCTGTAGGAATATTTAAACCACCTTGTATATACCATGTAAAAATATTTGTGTCAAATTTACAAACTGGGGGGCTTAATTCTTTAAAATTTTGATGTAAAGATTACTATTTTAAAAAATAATTGGGAAATTTGTTACAAAACTAATGGCTGGCCGCCCTAAGGAGCTATTTCCATGTCAAAAGTAAGATATGCCTTCGGAAAGACAAATTAAAAAATAAAAGTTACCAAGAAAAATAGCTCACTTTTACATATGTACATCAATATGTACAATTTTTTGATTTCGGAAGATATTGATTTATTAGGTTTTGAGTAATAATCTCAACCAAATCGGAAGGTTACACTTCACACACCAAAGCATAGTTAATAGACCTAGGCAGGGTTCAGTTCAGTTCCTCACATCAAAACCATTGGCGACGTTTTAGCATTCATTGCCATAGTACCAATTCTATAAGAAGTTATTACCAAATCAAACATGGTGTTATGTACACTCAAAACAAAACGGTGTCAATATATGACTTAACCGCCTTGGTTACAATTGTGATTCCGAGTATTAATTAATTTTTTCCGTCCGGTCATCTATATTATAAGCTGGAAATGTTTATCTGCAACGGAAGTGAAAGCAGTTTTCCGTGACGGAAGTAAAAATCGAGAAAATTTCACTTCCCTCGCCAACAGGCATTTCTAGCTAATTTTATAGTAAAAAATGGTTCGCTGGAATTATTAACAATCCGACTTAATTTTCACGAAAATCAAATAATTTCTCGCCCGGTGGGAGACGGGCTTATACGCTAGTAACATTATGTTTACAACTACCGGTATCAAAATCATCATAACTCGGAATTAACATTTTAACCAAGGCGGTTAAGTCATATATTGACACCGGCGGTGTTGATTTGACAAATTTTTGTTTTGAGTGTATGCATAAGTAATTAAGGAAAACTGACAGCTTATGTATGTATAAGCTGTATAAGCTGTCATATGTATATAAATATACATATGTATATGCGTAAATTTGTGTAAATATACCAATTCACATTTATTTATTTGTTGAATTGAATTTATCGTGGAAATTATTATAAACCTTAATAAATAAATATTCATCCGTAATTTTACAATAACGCACATTCGCAAGTTCGAACACCAAAGGCGTTGGCTGGAATATATTCGCATGAGAAACGGATAGTACACCCTCTCTCGAAATGGGTACCGTTTGAGCCTGGTGCGATGCAGGTAGCAAAGTTGGGACCCTCCGTGCAGGCGCAGGGGATGCCTTCGTCTTGGGTGCAAGCATTGTCCATAAATAAACAGAAACCTACAAAAAATTACAAAAGGTTCGTTGGATTAGGGGTGGTCCATATATTACGTAATGAGAGGGGAAGGGGGTCTAAAGCTGCAAATTTACAATCGTGCCTGTTACACATGTTGAGGGGGTTGGAGGGCGTATAAAATTGCGATTTTTGCGTTACGTAATTAATGAACGGGACCTTAGTTTAGCCAAAAATTTAAGTAATTCGTATTGCCGAAGTAACGGATATAATTCCGATTAACAAAAACCCATTCAAACCCGTGATAATCCACAGATTTTTGATTAAATTGACACTTGTATTTGTGTGACTTAATTTGTAAATGTTCCCAATGTGAACTTACTTAATTGCCCATGTGCAACCATTGTGACGATAAGAATGCCAAAAAGCAGCACAATTATCTTCATGGTTTCCTGCTAGTAAAGAGGAAATAATTAGTGGATCATAATTAATTATATACATACGAACTTTTCTGATAGTTATTGGACAGATGGAATTAGTTTTTTTACCTGTTCAACACAAACCCGAATTATCTTAAATACAAATTAAATTTTAAATATTTAGGCAGTGCTCGGTCTTACTGTGGGATTAGTACTGACAAACTTTTGTCAAGATCGAGCTAATTTTATAGATGGGTGGACACTCCCCAAATCCATTCCCTTGCTTATAAACACTTGTATTACTAGAAATAATGGATAATTATTAGCCACTAATAAAATTTGATAAGGATTTTGATCACTGCGTACCGCTGGAGTTTTTATTTGCATAATCCACATAAATGTAGAAGTTAGCAAACTAATGTTTTGCTCATAATAAGCAGGGATTAAGATTAATTTAAGTATAGGATTAAGTTGTGAGGGATTAAATTATTTAAACTTACAGAAAGGTATGCGTCTTTTACCTTTTACAAACAAATTAGCCACTTAAATTCATCTGTAAATAATTGACAATTGCTATTCGGTAATAAAACATATACATTCAACCCTGCATAACACTTTTGCATAAATTGTATATATGTAGATTTTGCATACCACTCGCTACGTACTTAAATGCGTCAATGTACTTAAATATACTTCGTGACAAACATAATTTAGTAAAGCTTTCTGTTAATTTGTGATGGACAATAAATTAATTAATCTGAAAGTGGCGATGCGATGGTCCAATCAAACGATTGTAAAGTTGATGATGCTTACGCTACATATCTGAAAAGTTGTTTGTCAGCATGGGAGAATGGACATGGATAAGTATTTCTCCAATCTGCGCACCACCTAATACATCTCTTATGTTTTGACTGTCAAATAAATAGAAACTCATGATCAAAAAACTGAATAATAATTACTTACTTAATCACTTACTTAATTACTTACTTAAATCGGCCTATGTATAACATAATTTAAAATAACTTATCATTTGCGCTTTACTTAGATATGTTCTGTCACCCGAATATTTTAATGGATCGGTTAAATTTGAATACATTAAAAAATTTAAAGAATTTAAAAGAGAATTTAATTTAAATTTAAATTTAAAATTAAAAGATTTATAATGCACAACGGTTTTAATAGAGTGAAATAAAATCTGGCCGGTATACGTCATGAAATCGAGATAAAATACACTAAACAGGCACTTAAGAGGCAAAGACAAATACATATGTGTACTTGGTCGTTGAGAGGTTAATATAGAATTTAGAACGCTTTTACTTCTGTATATAGCAACATCATTTTTAAGAGTGAAATTCAAACGTTTGTCATAACTGGGTGACACACATTTGCCAAATTATGAATGCATCAAATGCATCAATTGTGTAATACGCCTTCACATTCTTTCGTTGTGTTTTTTTTCAGTCAACAATCGAACAATTAATGTCGTCTGGTGACGTGTTGCCCTTGCACAATTGCGACGATGTTACCTTTAAATGCTTACTTATTTAGCCAGGCATTTAGTTCATGCCTACCAATCCGCCCTTAACCACCGACTCTCCGGTCACCCGAATTTCATATCTTGAATCGAAGTCAATTTTCCCCGAAAATTAAAATTAATTGGGTAAATTATTTAATTAAATTATTAAAATTAAAACTAGAATGAATTAAAATGGCATTTATTAATTGCGGAAATTCAAATTAATTGGAATTATATAAGTTAATTGAGTAAATTATAATTCATTCGGAAAAAATACAAGGTAAAAATTGGCAAAGGGAACGTTCATGCATTACGCATCAAAAATCGTAAACGAGTTTTAAGCCACCCACCCAACCAGTCTATCCCTATCCTACTCATGTTAAGAATAACACAAGTAAGATACGATTACGTCATCAGACAGGTGACCTTCACCTGTCTGATGACGTAACATGTGGACGTTACCAGAACTGAATTTTCTTTCAGAAACATGGGACCCATCGCCGTGGGGATCGCGATTATTTTCACGGCCTCATTCTTGGGATTCGTTGACGGTCAAGCAACCTGTACTTGTCCACCGGCAAAAAAAATCCCAGCAGAGGTGGGAATAGCTTTTTCAAAATTTATGAATGAGTGAATTTTGCATAATTAATTATTCATTTAAATAATAACTATGAAGAATGAATGAATAATTTTATTCGTTAATAACCTTTTACGTTATGCTTAATACGTTCAGGAGTATATTGAGAAGTCCATCATTAAGTAAGCTGAATTTTAAAATAGAATAATAAAAAATGAGAAATGAATAATTATTGATTTTCAAATCTTGGATAAATAAATAATGAATGCATTATTTTTAAATTGAGTGGTATCCGTCGAATATAATGAATTTGAGATAAAACAAATAAACAATAAATAAATAATGACAGAATGACACTGTAGTACTGAATGGCGAAAGAAACAGCTAAATATTTTGAGAGGCCTTTGAGAAATTAGAAAAAATATTAGGTGTCCATATTTTACCGGTTGGAGTGTATGTATGTACACAAATGTGAGTTACCCGTAATTGGAATTTATTTAGCACAATATTGTGTGAAAAGGACAAACATATTATTTATTTATTAAGGTATTCCCATACGTAACTGATGCATAGTAATGTTAACAATAGACATAGTTATGTACATAGTTAATTAATTATTTCATAAATCGACATTGTTTTCATAAATAGGTGGACAAAATATTTAGTCGCCTTCTGATTTGAAAATTAAGAAGTTTTCCACAACCCAACGTCGTCCTGATTGATATAAATGGTATCCGGACGAATGACGATGAACACATTATCCTTTGACTTTAGCCAGGAAAAGGTTGGATCATCGCACTAAGGAGAGACAAGAAACGGTCAGGGTATTCATCATCAGGGTATGCTATGTAAGTACCCCGGGTTTTGTACATTGTGTAATTTAATTTTGGTGATGTTTGCCACAGAACGACAATAATTAAAACCGGAATTTGTCCGGAAACAAAAAAGAATTTAATTTGGGCGAGATTCTCATATGCTTGCAAAGCTTATTTTCATGAGTTGAACGTGTTGAAACGCATTGCAACGGTATCAATATTTTGGATTTACTCCGTCCCCTCGCGGAGTGGGAGGAGCAAACGTTTGGAAAAATTTTATTGCCTCCGATTTTTAGCTAAAGGACGGGTCAATACATATTTTTGACCCTTATACATAGATGAGCAAGTTAGATGTGTTTTTAAGTCAGAAGTTTTTCCGAGCTTTGTTTTTTGTAAGGGCTGCGAACCCCAACTGGTAATTTCATCACCGTCAATAATTGTCAATTGCGAGTGACTACGCACCTGAATTCCCTTGAGAACTACCCGTCCAAGTGGCCCACATGACAGGAGTGCATCTCGAACTTTTTCGGTCGATAGATCAATGGGCCCGTTAAACTCGATCCACATATTTTGCAGAACTATACAGTTTAATCATTTGAATTAGAGTCTCTTTTCGTAAATTTTAAACTTTTCTTGTAACAATGAAAAACATTTAAAAAACCTAAAAAAGCTGTTCACAAATTATACATGTGCCAATTAAAAATACATTTGTTATCAAATAATTCATTTGATAAATCTATGAATGACTCTTTGCGATTTCTAATTTTAATTAGTCACTATCCTCGGAAAAATTTTAAAATGCAAAAAGAGTCTCTAATTCAAATGACCAAACTGTAGCAAATTGTGAAGCATTTGCATTATGACAGTGTTGTTTTTTGTAAAACGGGTCTCAGACTTTTGAACGCGGCTCGAAAAATCGTTTTTTGGAGCATGTTTCTTAAATTATTTTGCGTACATATGTATTAACTACTTATGTACATCTTTTGTGACAAATTACAACACTGGCATTCGTGACAATTTTTAGAACAAAGTTAAAGCGTATTTGCATAGTTGGAGATATCGATTTTTACTCAATATTGACTTGTGCAGAATCAACAGACGATCCGCCAAATTTTTGGGTGTGTGTAAATAAATAAACAAATACGCGCAAATCACATCAAAATAAGCATTTTTGGATGTATAGGATGCAGATTTGCAATCTCATATGTTGCGAGTCCCCTTCCATAACAAATTTTAAGAGCTTCGAAAGTTTGCAAAATGAGTTTGCGAAATAAGATGTTGGCAAATTTTGCATATTTTATCGCAAAAAACCTAAACCTCAAAAAGCCTAAACCTAAACATCGTCTTGTAATTAATTCTGAACATATCTCACATCTACGTAACGTCTATAATTTGTAAAAAATGCCGCATCACTTTTTACATAATTATTTCCATACCTTTCCAATTCGCAATTCCTTTTAAAACGTCGGATATGATCTGAATCATTTGGATACGCTTTATCGATATGGGGCCATGTGATACACCCAATTGTTCAGCTTAACGAGCTGAACAAGAATATCCTAGCTAGAAAAGGCGGGAACACCCCGTTCAAAAGTTGTGGCAATGTTTGAAATTTGTCTTGAATTTTTAGACGTTGGGGAGAATTTTAAGATTTTATCTCACGGTACGCCATAGCGCGAATATTTTTGGGGTAAAATGAGACTTTTGGGGTATGGTAAGATTTTAAGTGTGTCTTGTACTATGTCGAATTGCAATAAATTTCCCTGCACGTTTACCGCGAAGCGAGCCTAGGAATTGCGAAAGCAGGGGCCCGGCACCTGTGGGGCGCACTTTAGACTGCGAGCAATACATGTTCATAAAAGCTTGAAAAAAGCCCGCCTGGGGGGAAAATTATCGCAATTCTATATTTTACAATAACCTCACCATACCCGAAAAGTTTCATTTCAGCCCCAAAAATTTCTCCCATGGGGGAAAGTAAGACAAGATCTTAGAACTCTCTGAAACGTTCATACATAAATTCCAAATTTTGGAACAATTTTTGATCTTGGGTTTTCCGCGCTTTCTGGCTTGGATTTTCTTGTTCAGCTCGTCAAACTCAAGAATTTTCAACAATCGCATGACCCCATATCGATAATCCGTTATACAAAAGTTTTCTCCCTCATTATAGTTCTGTAGTTGAAACATTCTTCAATTCCGTGGCCGATGAAAACCTTCATTCGGGCCAATTTCCAGTCGCTAAATAATGCCAAAGTTGCACTAAGATAGAACCAATGGAAGCTCTCCTCCGTTAACCGGTAGCCCGGTGGCGTTTGCAATTTCAGAGTAAATTCTTGCAAAGCTGGGAACAAATTTTTCACCCTGTCCGCTTGTTTCGAATCCACGAAGTTTTCCGCCTTGAGGGATTTTAGCTCGATCGATTTCACCCGGTCGTGCCTCTTGTGGAACGTTGTAAAAAACTCGGAAATGCTTAAATGGTCGATCGACAAATGTGTGAGTTTTGGGAAGTGGAGATTATCCAGGGAGTCCTGAATTTTGTAAATGTCAGTATCCATCATAAAATGGGTTAGCTTCGGGAAGGGAAAATCAATCTGGTGAAATTATAAAAATTCTGTTACATATAAAATTCATGTCGATAAATGCATGATCAAATAAACCGTTAAACACGTGTAACAAAGGGGTGAAACCAATAAATAAATAACTCGATAAAATTAAATTTTAAAGCAAATAATTAAGATCAAGTTGATTTAAACAAGACTTCCTTTTGTGACATATGTATGTAGGAAGTTTGATATTTGGTAGCATTTTTGTGAACTCCAATCCTATTATGCATTTTCAAGTTGAAATGGGAATTTTCTTTATATCACATTTTCTTCTGCAATAATTCCATAAATCTATATACGTGACTCACCCCAATATGTCTCTCCACCCGGCGAAATCTATCAGCACGAGCTGTTCTCTCATCCAAGAAGCACATCAATGTCACTTGTTCTACTGAATCTCGACAACCCTTAAGAGTTCGGAGCACCTTGACAAAGTCCAGTTTCCCAGGACTATATTTATTATCATACTCATACTCGAAGGCATTAAGTTTTCGACACAATTCCAAATGTGGGTAGAAATTCCCCTTATATTTCAATCTTTCCAGGTTAGGAGCAGAGTTGATCAAACGTTGGAAAATGGGTCCTACGTTGCCCCTACACCTGTCCCCTTTAAAATAGAGCGTCTTCAGTTTTGGCAGAATTGCAAAGTTGGGAACTTCTCTTTCCGTGAAAGCATCGTTTCGACAATTAGCTTCGATTTCTAGGTGAGTCATGTTCGGGAAGGTGTACAAACCCATCCACATTTCAGGCCAATGGCGGGTAGTTGAGATAGCTACTTTAAGCTGAAGGGTTTCCACGAGATGACAAATTTTTGGAAGGAAGAATACAAAGTAGGGGACGAGGCAGGTACATTCGTCAGCCCTTGTGGCACAGGAACAACCCGTGAAGATTCTCGTCTTCCTGGCGAGCTGGGGATTGAAGTGATAGAGCCGGCAAGGCAACCACGTTTTACAAACGACGCCACATTTTCGACCGAGGAATGGAGCACCGATGTCGGCCCAGACAGAGCAAACTAGACGGACGGACTTCAACAGGGTGTCGGCATCCAAGAAAGAGAAAATTCTTTCCAAGATCTACATATATACATTGGGTGAAATTTTAATTCGCACATTTTACTGTGGTGACGTGGCATAAACTAAGGGAAACAATACTTAAGACTTTACAATTTTACGAAAATGCTTGGTTTTCACTAAGCAAGGTCGTTTAAGATGCTACCGCAAGACACGTACATATGTAAAATATTAATTTTGAATAATCTCAAGTCGGAAATGTTTTGGCATATGTATGTATGCACCACGTTACTGGAAGTGAGCTGGAAGGATGAATCGGATCTTAATTTTTCTGGGTGAATTGGATTTGGATGGATCGGATCTCAAAAAATGACGATTCAGCTCATCTCTACAGGTTACCCACTCCAATACAGGAAAGGTCTTGAAATCCAATTTTCCAGAAATTGTAAATTTCGCAAGATCCCTAACTTTCCCATTGGCAGTGGAAGCAAGTGGACAGGGGGACATTGTCGTCCCAAAAAAATAGGCAGAATCGTATCTTGCGGCTCATTTCATAGTACATGCCCCCTTTGTCCCCCAATTTTCGCCGCCACTGTACTTACCACAGGGTTCAGTAAAGGAGCAGTCGACGACGGGTTGACGACATGGTCAATCTTCGCTTCTGGTTTTACTTTATTCTCCATGGATAAGTAATAATCAAGTTATCTGCTGGATATCAAAGAAATCCTGTCATGCTGGCAGAAAACTTAAGTTCCTTAACACGAATATTCCCATATTTTTAAACAAAACTAAAAAATCTTACAATTTTCATAAAGTGGATTTTTATATGGTCACATTTTTTTAAGTAGACAACTATTGGCAAAATTTAGTAAAAAAATTTGATTTGAAAATTTAAATATCCCTAATTTTCAACTAATTTATTGCAAACATATGTATGTATGTACCTGTTAAGCAAGATACGCCGTTGTGTCAACCTACCTCGCAAGTGAGGTACATAAATCGGCGCAATCCTCCGATATCTAAATATTTGCCTTGAAGCTCACCTAAGGGGTCATTCACTTTGTGCGTGGCAAACATATTTACACTGCTTCATGCATAATTACATAATTATCATACCTAAGGCCTTGACTCAGGCTCGTGACAAATTACATTTTACTTGCATGGTCCCCCATGACGTGTGTGCAATGTAATTCATCATTTAGATAATCAGGGATTATGTAGTTTTGCAACAAGAACGTTCGTAAGCCTGTCGTAATATATGCGTCATACATGAGTCATAAATACTGTGAGTAATGCACAGTTTTGAAAATTTACGAAAAACTGGATAAAAAAGATTGTCACGAAATCATTGGGTAAAATTTACAATAAAGTTGGATAAATTAAATTTATCCAACCAAGTAGAAAATTTATTAAAGTTTTTGTTTATTACTCCTACGTGGACAAATTTTTCGCAACTTTTGCTAAGAGTATCTGCACACATTATTTGTGTATTTATGTACGTACATAAATACATACATGCTAGAAATAATGTGTTTGTGCAAATTTATGTAGTTACCCTTGTGTAAGTGAATTTGGAATTTACATACATATGTACACATGTATGTAAAAAAATCTATCCCTTTGCAAAATAAACGCACTCGGAATTCTGTTTTAACTAAAGTATATAGAATGACCTTAAGGGTCCATTGTATGTGGGTTCTGAGTTTTAATTGTCCTGCCTCAACTTTCCCTTCTTCCATATATTCAAATGGCGATTTCGAAAAGTATTCATCTCCGAAGGTATTAATTGCATGAATTTCAAAATGAATCAAATTTAATTGTGATTCACGTTCTATGACTAGATTCGCATAAACCGGTACATGGTGTGGCATGAGTTGTGGAGAAACTAAAAATGCTCTTACACGTGTCTAATAAAATGAAAAATTAGTGTACATGTGCATCAGCGTTTTTTCTCAAGGTGCCCCAAATTTTTCATATAGCCCCAAATGGTGGGAAAAATCATTTTGACGCTACCAGTACGCTAATTTCCTCCAAACTTGGCATACGGTCCTCATTTGGGATTGTCCAGAGCGCCTCAGTGAATGGACCACCTAGATTGAAATTGATAATGCCAATTACCTGACAATTTTGTCAATTTTTTTCGTTTTTTCGAAGTATTTACGAAATTTATTAAATGGTATCTTTCTACCTTCACATCTCTACAGAAACCCTATATTCTGCCTCGAATGCCGTTTCATAGATCCTCATAGCTCAAATATTAAGGGTACTTTGTAGGAAGATCGATTTTGATTTTTTTTACACTACGAATCTAATCACCCTAAATCTTTAATTGAGTCGTTACCTTTCAGTCAGGGTTTAAGAATTAAGAAAATATGTTCAGAAGAAAAAGATGCGGATAATGAACTTGTAAATTTATTTTCTAAGTTTAAGAGTAGAGGTTACCCCGACATATTACTTGAGAATATTCAACACAAAATTAACTTGATTCCAAAAAAGGTCATTTTTACTCCAAAAACTAAGCTAGTGAGACAGCATTTAATGCAAAATAATCCAAACATTTTATGTAAATATAATACGGTCCCTTTTTGTAACCCAGTCCCTAACCAAAAAATATATCTCGTTCTACCTTACTACAAGAATATGTATGGAATAGGAAATGTATTAACTGATTTTGTACAAAAAGAAAAGGAAAAGTCAATTCATACTCAATACAAAAATATCATATCTAATCTACATTTTGTTATCTCATTCAAAAAGGTAAATTGTCTGCAAAATTATTGTAAATGACCAGTCAACTTTTAGTTATATTGTGAAATCCTACCAGTAAACATGTAAAACTAACAACGAAAATACCAATATTTCTCAAAAACCAATACGGTAATATATTTTTTTCTCAATGGCAGATTGATTTTAATTTTAATTTTAATTTTAATTTACTTATTTATTTACTGTAACTTTTTATGCATTTTAGCCTGATGAAGCTAAACTAATAGCAAAACCGGTCGCATAATTGGTTAATAAAGCAATTCAAAATCCGATCAGTTGGAAATGCCCTTCTTTTAAATTGAGTCTACTCTCGCATTTCCGTGTATCCTGGATCCTGATGGATAAATGCAATTACAACATTAAGCAAAACGATCAAATTTTATCTCCTCATAGCCGAAACTTCAACTTAAGCCAAAGCAATTCACCGACAGACGATGAACTTCCATGCAATACAACTCTTGCAAGAATTTTTGCATCAATTGATGAAGATGACCTGAGCGAACCAGAAATTATTCCTGCAACTCAAAATCCAAATTCCCGAAAAGGCGCATCCAGACCTACCCCCAATTCTCAAAACAAACGAAAAAGGTTGAAGTTCAGCCCATCCTTTGTCCCACAAGGAGACAGAAGACCGTTATTTGACGACATGAATGAAAAAATGGAAGCTTTGATGTTAATCGACCCGGAACAGAAATCAGTTATTTTCGGATATCTCGATAGATGCAGTGGTACGTTATGTTATCGACTTATTGCTCGAAACAAAAGCAATCCCCATTCTACCCAATTTTGAAATGATGAAATCCTGGCTAGACCACCAATGCAGTATAACAATTCCCAAAAATCTCGCTGCCGAATTGGTTGAAAAATTCATGGACTACTTTCAAGCCAAATATTTATATAATATAACAACGTTGATAGTGCATTAGAAAATGGAAAACACTTGTTTAATCCCAAAACAAACTTCAACATCCCTCAGTTTAAATATATGCCAGAAATAGTACTGGAAACTATGACCAAACTAAAAGAAGAATATGCCACTAATTTACAAAAAGAAGCTTCTCGAGGGACGCTTTTCACCCTTCAATTAATCATCCCCCGAATCTTGCAAAAAATCACCAGATTTGTCAAGGAAGAAGTTATTGATGCAGCAGAAATTCAAAAAAGGATTGAATTACTACTAGCTACAACATATTTTATTGCTCACTGAATTCCCTAAGGCAAAGAAAGTTCATGTGATTGATTGGACATCATATTCATCAAAAACTACTCATGCCATTCCGGAATGGAGAAAAACACAACCAAATGAACTACCTCCGGAATTCCCCAACAGACTCGCAGCCAACACAGTGGACAAAATCAATAAACAGATTATAAAATTAACTGGAGATGCAATAAAGAAAGAGATCGATGCATTCTTGGCGAACACCTCTTTCCCAAATCCACCACAATATAATTATAGAGGTGGACCAAGACGAAGGCAACAATCAAACTTCCAAAATAGTCGCCAATTATCAGGTCAACGAACAACATATAATCAAAATCATCAATTTAATGGGAACCATTTAAATCGGGGTCAGAATAGTTACCGAGGACAACAGAAACGAGGTCGATTTTATAATAATAACGTACGAGGACACAATTATGGACAAAGTCGCAACACATTTCAACAGGAAATTTCAACTCCTTTGCCCACAACCGAATTCTCTGGTTATTCCTATCAAGGAGGACACGGAAGTAGGTCACAGAAACAAAACCACAGATTTAATCCGACCTCAATATCAAACCGCACTGCAGCATCTACGCCACATCTACAAACGACAAGTGCGCCAACGTCAAGCAAGCAAGTCATGGAGAGTTTCACATGAGGAGACACAGCCATTGAGAAAAAACCAGACCGAAAGACGAGAAAATTTATTAATTTGAAGAAAGTTTTAGAATGTAACAAGATTACTAAGAAACAGAACTCTAAGCTACTTAAAATGTATATAAATTTCAAAAAAGAAAACCCTCCCGTCCACAATTTAACGAAGCTTAAAACCATTCCTGAATTTGTTCTATTCATTCTTTCTTTTGGATTGAAATTTTGTTTGCTTAAACCTTTCAATTCAACGATTATTTCAAACCACTTTGATGAAGCAATCAGAAAAATTAGCTGGGTTACACATTTTTCAAGTATTAATCAAACCTCTCATTTATCTAATTTTGACAAATTCATTATAAAAGTCAAAAAAGCAAGTAGAGTACAAGCATCACCATGCGAAATACAAGAAGAGATATTTCCAAATCCAAATTTAACAAAAAATTTTCTTTCAATTATATGTAAAAAAATATCACAAAGAAAATTTCATACCAGATGAAATAATGAATAATTTCCGAGCTTTTATATTGAAAAACAATTTAATAATTAAGAATGCAGATAAAAATGCAGGGATTTGTATAATAGAAAAAATAGATTACAATAATGAAGTACTTCGCCAACTGGAAGATGAAACAATTTATGTTCCAACCACTTGCTCTCATTTTAATTTAAGAATGTTGCAATTTATTGACAGAGTTAAATCTATGAAAATTGAATTCAATGACGATAAATCTACAAAACTCAACAGCCTAATTAACTATAACTATCAACCTGCAAATTTGTATATCCTCCCAAAAATACACAAGCCTTTTACACAATTTACAACAGGACGGCCAATTAGCAGTACCTGCAACGCTATTAACAGATACATAAGCGAATTTGTTGATTTTGTATTGAAACCAATAATTACTTACATTCCAAATTTATTAATTGATACAAATCACTTTCTGTTGCTACTGGAGGATATGCAGTTAGACCCAAATTGTAAATACGTATTAATTACTTATGATATATCCAGCATGTACACTAGTCTTAAGCTGCAAAATTGTAAAAAATATTGTTGTACAGCATTTGAAGCATATAAACATAAGCTAAATCTTCCTTACAATTTTACAACTAAGCAATTTAATGAAATGTTAAATCTGAGCCTTGATTACAATTACATACAATTTAATGATCAATATTTTACTCAAATTCAAGGAATACAGATGGGTAATTCAGCGTCAGTCACAGTTGCAAATATTACAGCATGGTATGAAATGCGAGCAATGTTTACTTTACATCCTGAGATTGTATGTGAAAAAAGATTTGTAGATGATGGATTTCTCTTAGTAAATTGTGATAACATCTCGGATATCGATACATGGTGTGAAAATATATTTAAACATGATTATCTAAAATTTACGGTTGACCATAGTTTCATATCAATTCCTTTTTTAGATGTTAAGGTCACATTAAGCATGCAGAACAAAATTGTAACATCTTTGTACTCAAAGCCAATGGCTAAAAATGTTTTACACAACGAATCTAATCACCCTAAATCTTTAATTGAGTCGTTACCTTTCAGTCAGGGTTTAAGAATTAAGAAAATATGTTCAGAAGAAAAAGATGCGGATAATGAACTTGTAAATTTATTTTCTAAGTTTAAGAGTAGAGGTTACCCCGACATATTACTTGAGAATATTCAACACAAAATTAACTTGATTCCAAAAAAGGTCATTTTTACTCCAAAAACTAAGCTAGTGAGACAGCATTTAATGCAAAATAATCCAAACATTTTATGTAAATATAATACGGTCCCTTTTTGTAACCCAGTCCCTAACCAAAAAATATATCTCGTTCTACCTTACTACAAGAATATGTATGGAATAGGAAATGTATTAACTGATTTTGTACAAAAAGAAAAGGAAAAGTCAATTCATACTCAATACAAAAATATCATATCTAATCTACATTTTGTTATCTCATTCAAAAAGGTAAATTGTCTGCAAAATTATTGTAAAACTAACAACTAAAATACCAATATTTCTCAAGAACCAATACGGTAATATATTTTTTTCTCAATGGCAGATTGATTTTAATTTTAATTTTAATTTACTTATTTATTTACTGTAACTTTTTATGCATTTTAGCCTGATGAAGCTAAACTAATAGCAAAACCGGTCGCATAATTGGTTAATAAAGCAATTCAAAATCCGATCAGTTGGAAATGCCCTTCTTTTAAATTAAGTTCCCACGAAGTACCCATAATACTAATTTTCTCCACTAGTGTCAGTTCGATTTACCCCAATTTTTAATATGTTCAACATATTTGGTAGCAGAACAATTGTTAACCGCACTAAAAGTCGAACTCGACATGTTTGACCTTATTTCGGGGGTCGGAAGTAAAAGGTTTGCCATAAAGTCTCACGTAGCCCCATAAGTGGGGTATCATTAGAAAGGTATCTGCATAAGGAATAATAATATACATACTTTATAGGGTCTATGACTGCTCTCTGATGTTCCAGGGTCATAAGAATATTTTCGAGTTTTCATCAATCTACTGCCATGTTAGTTTTCAATCTGCTCCTGTGTTAACGGCTGTATACCTGGAAAAATAAAACTCAATAATGCTCATTGCCCTGTAAACAATCAGGGGGTGATCCCAGATCCCACAAAGTATATATATTCTGAATCATCTCTCCGAGACCTTTGCAACGATACCCCAGTAATGGGGTTATGTGAGACTTTACTGTCCGAAGTTCCTCCTGACCTCTGAAACAAGGTCACGCAGGTCGAGTTCGACTTTTAGTGCGATTAACAATTGTTCTGCTACCAAATATGTTGAACATATTAAAAATTGGGATAAATCGAACTGACACTAGTGGAGAAAATTAGTATTATGGGTACTTCGTGGGAACTTCTATCAAAATCGATCTTCCTACAAAGTACCCTTAATATTTGAGCTATGAGGATCTATGAAACGGCATTCGATGCAGAATATAGGGTTTCTGTAGAGATGTGAAGGTAGAAAGATACCATTTAATAAATTTCGTAAATACTTCGAAAAAACGAAAAAAAATTGACAAAATTGTCAGGTAATTGGCATTATCAATTTCAATCTAGGTGGTCCATTCACTGAGGCGCTCTGGACAATCCCAAATGAGGACCGTATGCCAAGTTTGGAGGAAATTAGCGTACTGGTAGCGTCAAAATGATTTTTCCCACCATTTGGGGCTATATGAAAAATTTGGGGCACCTTGAGAAAAAACGCTGATGCACGTGTACACTAATTTTTCATTTTATTAGACACGTGTAAGAGCATTTTTAGTTTCTCCACAACTCATGCCACACCATGTACCGGTTTATGCGAATCTAGTCCTATACATAAATGTGGTTAAAATTGTTCCACCTTTGTTGGAAGTGCACATAAATAATTCAGTAATTTTATGTAATGCGCTATTCATTAATTTAGTAATTTATGGATTAAAATAACAACAAAATTACATTTGAATGACGGATGTATCTGCAATACATTCTGTAGCAAAGACACATTACTAGCTAAATTACATCACATTTTAATTTTATATTGCACATATTACATTAATTGTAAGCGATTATTTAGTTTTTAAGGTTAATTTGTATTCTAGGAAGTTAAAAAAACTAGTCCACTAATTAATGCTGTAATTTACAGTAGATTAAGCAATATTTCTGGTCCGTCTCAAAATTGGATTAACATCAAGCAATTAATATTGATTCCTTAATACGTAGCAAAAAAATCAGTAATTACATAATTATTTTTCCCTAATTACTATTTAATAATTTCGTCTTTAAAGGGATCCACCACTATCCACTCGTCTGGGTAAAATAGCTTCATTTCATACTCTTTGAACCTTCTGTACTCTGGGTCTTCATAAATTGTGAGCGTTTGAGGGTGAAAAGTTGGCGCAATGATGGTCTTTTTCTCGTTTTTGTTAAGGTACGCGGCCCACCAGGAGAACGTGCTATTCGCGATGATTGCATGTTTGCAGATCATCATCAAGTAAAAGTCTTCTAGGCTCGTGGTGCAAGAGGAACAAGAGACGAAATGAATGTGGACGTTGGCCGGAAGTTGTAATCCACTGGAAAAGAAGATGTAATTATGTAAAATTGAAGTTACATTATAATACATACTTAAAAATAATGTTACCCATTGAAAAGTAAGTGTACTCTGAATTCGACAATAAGAAAAGTATGACTTGATGACTCGTCGTTAAAATTCGTGAGATGCGACAAATTTTTAATCATTTATTGGCTCTGGGAATTTTTTAAAAAGGTCTGGACAACTAATTGGTAAGTAGAGCAGGTCCTTGCCAACTTTATAAATACATAAGCACACTCCAGATTTTGTCAGTTTTTGAAGCAGGCGATCTAAAGTTAAAGAAGCCTTCAGATATATTTGAACTCGTCAAAACTGGCTTAAAAACTAACTGATATTCTGTTAACGTCCTGACTTAGGTATAAACTAGTGTAGAAGCCCGTCCATCGACGGCCCGTCGGTAAGCCCGTTACCCGAACATTAGTGAAGTTAGCCTCTCCTGTTCTCTCTGCAGAGTGGAGAGAGAAAAGAAGAGGCTAACTTCTCAAATAAGCCACCGACCCACCCAGCAGCGATACACTCGCCTGCTTTATATAGTTTAGATTATAATTATAAATAACTAATGTACCTAGCCGTACAGGATTTCAAAATGTATTCCCGAAGAATGATTAAAAGTATGCTCATTTTGAAGATTTTGGCGATGAGGCATCGAGTTCTATGTTAAATTAATTGTTTTAAATGCAGAGTAATGTTGACTTGGTAAAGAGTTACATACATATATTTACCCTGGATTTCGCACATATATTTTTTTATTAATAAATATGTACAGAATCCAGAGTGTTTTCATGTTTGAAAGGGTAAGACTCTAAATATTTCAAAACTGCGATTAACATTTGAAACACAATACCTGAGCAATTCCTGCCTCACGAGGTCAATCTGATCCGAGAAGATGAAAAACGAAGCATCTTTTGACAAATCCAATTTCGCCAGCATCGTCTTTACCGATTTTTGGTAGAAACAAATCGGTGTAAACCAATTATTATCTTTTCTCTCATCTTCGCCATAATCTCCGCGTCGAATATGGATTGCGACGCTGTTCTCGCCAGCGTCGGAGATGATGTTGATCCATTTTTGGATGGGTGGACGAGATAGCTCTTCCGGAGTTAAGTCAAGTTGGAACATTTCCTTAATTTTCTGTAAATACAGGTAACAAAAAAACATTGTCAAGAAATGTAAACCGTTTGGCCTGCACACCTGTTCAAAAATTCTTAATTCATTCAAAATTCATTCATTTTAAACAAATAGGAAAAAATCATTATTCATTTACTCAAAATTTGAAAATGAATTTTTATTAATTTTTTATTTCATTTTATGTGCAATTCTTCTTTATGGATGGATTTCTTAATGTACCCCATGAACTAATCATAGCGGGAAAAATCAATAAGAAAAAATATTCATTCATTATTCATGGACATGAAATGAATAAATAGTTATTCAATTTTCATTCGATCAAAAATTTTAGAAAAAAATACTTTCATTACAAATATTCATGAATTTAGTGAGCAATCAATGAATAATTTATATATTTATTCCTTATTCAAAAAATGAATGTGAACAAGCAAATGCTTTTACCGGAATGTATTCTTCAAAAAATACTTCTGATTGGCAATAGTCCTGAATAATGATTAGCTTATTGGTAGGAATGGGTCGATAGAGCAGGTCGCGATCGTTGACGCGAAGAACGTCGTCCTCACTCCACGGATAGCCCCTCGTATACCAGCCCTCGATCGCTTTGTCGTAAAAGACGCGAAACTTGTGGAGCACGTAGGGACGCGCGTTTGAATCGTAGAATGGGTTCGCCTTTAAGAAAAATTAGAAAATCGGTAAAAAAATTGAATACTCATTCTTAAAAATAATGTTTTTCTTTTGAAAAGTATGTAAATGTGCTCTTTGTTAAATTTTAAGGGATATTAAAAAATGGTACATGTTAACAAATGTTATCTGGTCAAAAAAACTCAAAAGTTGAAAACTGCCTAAACAAATATTCGCATTTTATAGGAAACCACGCAAATTTTAATTTGTTGTTATCAGGAGTAATTATGAAAAATCAACATCGTACCCGAGAGAAATTTATAAAAATTATTTACTTACAATGGAGAGGTGTCAGGTGGTTATCGCCAATGTGGACCGGACTAATTTTAAATTGTCCAGGCCCAGAAATAAGCCCACCGGTATTTTTTCGTTTTCCTGAATGAGCATATTTACGCCCGTGGCGGAATTTTCAAAAAAACTTTCAGCCAAAATCCTGATTTTTAAAAACGCTGTAACTTTTCGAATTTTAGCCCGATTTCAAAAATTGAATGCAATTTGTGTTCAGAATTACTTCCCTGAAAATATAAAAATTGATTTTCAAAAAAATTTAAATTTAATATTTTCATGCCATTTCTGAGTTTTTAGAAATGGGAAAAACGATAATTTTTTGAAAATTAAAAAATGTTTGAAAATGAAGTTTTATATTTTCAGGGAAGTAATTCTGAACACAAATTGTATTCAGTTTTTGAAATCGGGCTAAAATTCGAAAAGTTACAGCGTTTTTAAAAATCAGGATTTTGGCTGAAATTGTTTTTGAAAATTCCGCCACGGGCCCATTCAGGAAAACGAAAAAATACGGGTGGGCTTATTTCTGGGCCTGAACAATTTAAAATTAGTCCGGTCCACATTGGCGATAACCACCTGACACCTCCTCATTGTTAGTTGTAGGAAAAAGATTAATGTAAAATTCAGAGTGTATTCACTTTTCAAAAAGGTAACATTTGTTCCCAAATTTTATATCCATTCATAAATATGCACACTCTAAATAAAATTAAGTAAAATTTGTTCAAGCGTGATTAAAAAAGAGGATAACACAACCAAAATTGGCCAACTTTGTGCAAAATTTAAGTAGTTCCCACTCGTCGGACAACTTCTGCACAACTTTAAACAAATTTTTGCATATCGGTTGGATAATTTTACCGTTTGGTTGTGTTATCCTGTTTTTTTACCCAACCTTAAGTAAACTTTACTTATTTTTATTTACAGTGTATTAACCTGCGAGTTAAGAATTCTTGCCGACGGAATCTCCAAGTAGAGTGGAACCCCCAACTTTTTCGATAATGAGTAGGCACAAGCATAAATGAACAATTGGTTCCCGAGTCCTCCCACTTTCTCCATAATTATCCCGGGAGGATGTAACTCCGTCCAGTCCCATCTCTTATAATAGTCGAAACACGGGATGACAATGACGAACAGAACAAGTCCGAAAAATACGCGTTTTATCGTAAAATTCTTATAAACCATGGCGACCATCCAGTCCAGCCAGGTTGTTGTTTGGGAGGAATAATCCTTTAACATGATGAACAAATTAAACTTGTCGGCACTTAAATTTAATATAGTTGATGTTTTGGATACATAATTTCGCCAGTTTGAAAGAGCTATTGTTTCATAATTAACAATAAAGGCTCATTCCATCTGAACCCACACGATCGTCGTCGCACCCATATTTGATATCTTGTCCACAATAGTATCATAGTTGCATAATATAAAATAAAACATATCATAAAAATCAAAATTTGATAATTAATTTTTTTCGCAAAGATATAGCATTTTAAAGAAAATTTGCAAATGCATTGAAAATGCTTTCGTCACCAAAGTGTTGGTTCAAAGGGGTAGGTTACATTTACAGATTTCATTCATTGATCATTCTTTGCTATGAAAAATTTTTAAAAATTCAAAAATTCAAAAAAATCAGAAATTTGAAATGTATTTAAAAACTCGATTATCGAGAAGACGGACAGGTATCGCTCATTGAGAGATAAGCCAGTCGATGCCTTTGGGCCTGAGGAAACAAAAAAGTTTAAAACCCCACGCGATTTTTGTCCGTCTTGGAGTTTTGGCAATTTTTCGAAAAGGTAAAATTAACATGGGCTGCGTGTGTAGACAGTAGTAAATAATTCTGTGTTCCTACGTGGCCGGGAACATTGACAAAGTGTGAGTTGTGCAGTGTTCTCTTGCAAAAGAGAGAAAAATACATGGCCAGGCAACCATCACCAGGGAGCAGGGTTTAGCACCTCTATTTCCTGGTACTCGATCAAACGTGTTGCTTACAAATGGAATGAGCCTAAATTAAACACTACCACCACCACTCTTGCTTGTTAGTTTTAAGCATTATTTAAATATGTATGTGCATATAATGTACAGAAAGCGAAATTTGTTACTAATAAATCAACTAACAAGACAATGTTCAACATCTGGTAGAGTTACACATACAAATGTACATATTTATGTATACTCCGTACCGGTAATAATTTTGTAATATGTATTTAAATTCCTACCGGATTTGTGGTACTATTTTGTTCCGAGTGGTAAAATGTTTGTTACCACGATATCACAGAATGGTAATGCCTGTAGAGCGATGTGCATATGTAAATAAGTAGTATGTACTCCGGCTAGCAATAAAAAATAAACTTTTATAAAATATACTACAAAATATTTTCGGTAAATTCTCAGATTTCTGTAAATATGTAATTTGTACACGATCCTCTCCCACAACCGACTGGGCTGGATTTGCATCGAATCCGGATAGTAAAAAAGTATGAATATGTATGGATGCTCAGGTATATCAAGTGGATACATATTCACCGTTTTTTAAGCGAGAAGGCAAGCAAGAGCATTATCAGGAGTCAGCCTGATAGATAATTTACGACACCAAAACGACGCGTATTTATCATAGTTATGTATGTTGCAAAGCACAGCACAAATGTGACGTGTGAAGCAAAACGATAAGATTAGTCACCCACCAAATGTATGTATGCATGCGAATAATCTATATTTGCACAGATTCTTCTTTAGACTGACTGTCAGACTGGCAAATTAAGAACAAAAGTTTTTTGCCCATCGACCCTCTTTAATGGGTCGAGTTTCTGAGCTATTATTGACATTTATATTCATGTGCATATTTAAGAAATCCAGACTGTGAAACAAGTCTGCTTACTATTAGTTGGATGTTTGTTATCTTGTCAGTTCTCTAATGATGACAGTAATGTTGAAACATATCTACTAAAGACTTATTCATGTAAATTATGGAGTAACTTTGCGGATTTATGCATTTTCAAACGGAATGTGCTGAACACCAGGCTGAATTTTTGTTGCATTTTTAAAGATCGTTTAAAGTGTATCGGAATATCGGTTTAAAGTATTTAATCGGAATTGAACAATATAATTTAGTACCTATATATGTACATGTATGTATTTATATGTACCTGTCCTTTTCATAACAGGAGGAGAAGACAAACTTTCTGACAGAAACAGAAGTATATTAATTAATCGTATGATGAACCTACATACAGAAGAATGTTAAAGATTTCTAGTCATATTTCAGCAGCCCTGTTCAAAGTTAAAAAAACTATTGCTTAAATAGCATCAATCTCGTCAATTTTGAGATAAATTTAACTTTTCATAGTTCAACCTATAGCTAATTTCTGGTTATACATATTTATGTACGTAAAGGGTTATCACAATTTATAAAATTTGATTGCTTAAGACGATGATAAACTTTAATGCCCACCGCATGACGAACAATTCTCCAGTAGATATATGTATATGCCGGTCCAGTGTTATGCAAAAATAATTTAAGAAAGCCGACAAGTTGGGGAGTGTCCATATATTACGTCATCAAAATAACGCAGATTTTTGGATTATTCATCCACCCTCCCACCCCTTCCAAATCCTAATTAAGTACGTTAAGATTACGACGAGTAAGTCAGCCGACCAAAAATTACCCACCACCTTTTTGATAACGTAATATATGAACACTAGCGTATAAGCCCGTCTCCCGCCGGGCGAGCGAGAATTATCAGATGCAAAAGTCTGTCGGAAGCCGAAGCGAAAGCAAAGAAAGTCATAGAGCTTAGACTGGCACGTATTAAACGTCTAATGGTAGTTATCTTGGGCTGGTTGTAGCCTTGACTTCAATTTCACTTTGACTTTACTTTAAACTAAAGTGGCGGATCCTGGATACCCATGACAGACTTCCAATTCTATTTAACTTCAAACTAAAGTGGCCATGATAATCACCCCCAGACAACCACCATCAGATAACCACCCATGATAACCACCCCCAGATAACCCCCATGATAACCACCCCCAGATAACCCCACGATAACTACCCCCAGATAACCCCCATGATAACCACCCCCAGATAACCCCACGATAACTACCCCCAGATAACCACCCATGACAACCACCCCCAGATAACCCCCCATGATAACCACCCCCAGATAACCCCCCATGATAACTACCCCCAGATAATCACCCATGACACCCCCCCATGATAACCACCCCCAGATAACCCCCCATGATAACCACCCCCAGATAACCCCCACGATAACTACCCCCACATAACCCCCATGATAACCACCCCCAGATAACCCCCACGATAACTACCCCCAGATAACCACCCATGACAACCACCCCCAGATAACCCCCCATGATAACCACCCCCAGATAACCCCCCATGATAACTACCCCCAGATAACCACCCATGACACCCCCCCATGATAACCACCCCCAGATAACCCCCCATGATAACCACCCCCAGATAACCCCCCATGATAACCACCCCCAGATAACCCCCATGATAACTACCCCCAGATAACCACCCATGACACCCCCCCATGATAACCACCCCCAGATAACCCCCCATGATAACCACCCCCAGATAACCCCCACGATAACTACCCCCAGATAATCCCCATGATAACCACCCCCAGATAACCCCCACGATAACTACCCCCAGATAACCACCCATGACACCCCCCCATGATAACCACCCCCAGATAACCCCCCAAGATAACCACCCCCAGATAACCCCCACGATAACTACCCCCAGATAACCCCCACGATAACTACCCCCAGATAACCACCCATGACAACCCCCCATGATAACCACCCCCAGATAACCCCCCCCGATAACTATTTCACTTTGACTTTAAACTAAAGTGGCGGATCCTGGATACCCATGACAGACTTCCAATTCTATTTAACTTCAAACTAAAGTGGCCATGATAATCACCCCCAGACAACCACCATCAGATAACCACCCATGATAACCACCCCCAGATAACCCCCCATGATAACCACCCCCAGATAACCCCCCATGATAACTACCCCCAGATAACCACCCATGACACCCCCCCATGATAACCACCCCCAGATAACCCCCCATGATAACCACCCCCAGATAACCCCCATGATAACCACCCCCAGATAACCCCCCATGATAACCACCCCCAGATAACCCCCATGATAACCACCCCCAGATAACCCCCACGATAACTACCCCCAGATAACCACCCATGACAACCCCCATGATAACCACCCCCAGATAACCCCCAATGATAACAACCCCCAGATGACCACCCATGACAACCCCCCATGATAACCACCACCAGATAACCCCCCACGATAACTTCCCCCAGATAACCCCCCATGATAACCACCCCCAGATAACCCCCACGATAACTTCCCCCAGATAACCCCCCATGATAACCACCCCCAGATAACCCCCACGATAACTACCCCCAGATAACCCCCATGATAACCACCCCCAGATAACCCCCACGATAACTACCCCCAGATAACCACCCATGACAACCCCCCATGATAACCACCCCCAGATAACCCCCCCCGATAACTACCCCCAGATAACCACCCATGACAACCCTCCATGATAACCATTCCCAGATAACCCCCACGATAACTACCCCCAGATAACCACCCATGACAACCCCCCATGATAACCTTCCACGATAACTACCCCCAGATAACCACCCCCAGATAACCCCCACGATAACTACCCCCAGATAACCACCCATGACAACCCCCATGATAACCACCCCCAGATAACCCCCCACGATAACAACCCCCAGATGACCACCCATGACAACCCCCCATGATAACCACCACCAGATAACCCCCACGATAACTACCCCCAGATAACCACCCATGACAACCCCCCATGATTACCACCCCCAGATAACCCCCCACGATAACTACCCCCAGATCACCACCCATGACAACCCCCATGATAACCATCCCCAGATAACCCCCCACGATAACAACCCCCAGATGACCACCCATGACAACCCCCCATGATAACCACCCCCAGATAACCCCCACGATAACTACCCCCAGATGACCACCCATGACAACCCCCCATGATAACCACCCCCAGATAACCTCCCACGATAACAACCCCCTGATGACCACCCATGACAACCCCCTATGATAACTACCCACAGATAACCCCCCACGATAACTACCCCCAGATAACCACCCATGACAACCCCCTATGATAACTACCCACAGATAACCCCCCACGATAACTACCCCCAGATAACCACCCATGACAACCCCCTATGATAACTACCCACAGATAACCCCTCACGATAACCACCCCCAGAAAATTCAGTGGTAAAGTGTGCACATGTGATCACTTCACACTGTTGTGTCTCGTCACCACAGTCAAAAAGTGTGAAGTGATCACAGGTGATCACTTCACACTTTTGTAGTGGTTATCTGGAGGTGGTTGTCAAACAGTGGTTATCTGGGGGTGGTTGTCAGACAGTGGTTATCTGGAGGTGGTTGTCAGACAGTGGTTATCTGGAGGTGGTTGTCAGAGAGTGGTTATCTGGGGGTGGTTGTCAGACAGTGGTTATCTGGAGGTGGTTGTCAGTAGGGTTGCCGCGTGTAACGGGTCGGGTACCCGTTACCCGCATACCCGCACGATTCTTGCGGGTACCCGTTTTCTGCGGGTAGCGAGAACTACCCGCACGGGTAACGGGTTGTTCTGTTTTTATTTAATTCTCGACATATATCAGTTCACAAAGAAAGCTAGCAGCAAGTTAGTCCATTTACCAACAAAAGCGTCAATTTATTATTTATCTATTTCAAAATTTGCTATTTTCCAGCAACTAGGGTTTATAGCGTGCGTGTCTTTTCGGAAGCCACGGAAGCCTATGGCAGCCTGATATGCTTTTCACGTCCCTAAAATGAAATTATTGTTTCTCAAGTAAAATTTGCCTGCTCTAAAATCTGAGTAACAATTTGACTTGTATTTATTTATGTATCTATTTGTATTTATTTTGTATTTATTTATTTGTGTAAGACTGACGAGATTTTAATTTGTTCGTTGAAGATGAAAAACCTGAATCCGATTGAAGGCTAAAATTTTATTTGTAGATATTTTTAAAATGAAAACTTAAATTTAAATCAAATTCCAAAAAAAATCAAACTAAAAGTTGAACCTTTCTTCAAGCTACACCAAAATTATCTAGAGAGTATATTAAAAAGTCAAGCCAAAAATTAGAAATCACATGATACTTTCCGTTGAATGTCCACTTTAAAGAAAAATATTGGAGGCAAAGTTCGATTTTTAAGTAAATGTTCAGCATCTTATTCCTCCACTGGACGAAAATCATGGTGGACTTTGAACTCTGATCCAAATAGTTTCCTACGGGCTATTCAAGGGAAAGATTAGTGATAATTCCTAATTTTTAACTTGATTTTTTGATATCATTCGTTAAGAAATCCCGATGTAGTTTGAAAAACGTTCCATTGCAAGTCAAAAAGTTTGGTTTCAGAACAACTGCGGATATTCCCATAGCAATTTACGGCATTCGTTACTTGCGTAGCATTATCTGAAATTACATATCAACCCAAATGAGCCAATCAATTAAATGGAATTTATTCTTAAGGCTGGTTAGGTTTTAAGTCAATTTTCATTACGGGTAGCGGGTAACGGGTACCCGCACGGGTACCCATGCGGGTACGGGTAGTTGTGCTGCGGGTAGCGGGTCGGGTAACGGGTAGCATTTTCGCTACCCGCGGCAACCCTAGTTGTCAGACAGTGGTTATCTGGAGGTGGTTATCTGGGGGTGGTTGTCAGACAGTGGTTATCTGGGGGTGGTTGTCAAACAGTGGTTATCTGGGGGTGGTTGTCAGACAGTGGTTATCTGGAGGTGGTTGTCAGAGAGTGGTTATCTGGAGGTGGTTGTCAGAGAGTGGTTATCTGGAGGTGGTTGTCAGAGAGTGGTTATCTGGGGGTGGTTGTCAGACAGTGGTTATATGGAGGTGGTTGTCAGACAGTGGTTATCTGGAGGTGGTTGTCAGAGAGTGGTTATCTGGGGGTTGTTGTCAGACAGTGGTTATCTGGAGGCGGTTGTCAGAGAGTGGTTATATGGGGGTGGTTGTCAGACAGTGGTTATCTGGAGGTGGTTATCTGGAGGTGGTTGTCAGAGAGTGGTTATCTGGGGGTGGTTGTCAGACAGTGGTTATCTGGAGGTGGTTGTCAGAGAGTGGTTATCTGGGGGTTGTTGTCAGACAGTGGTTATCTGGAGGCGGTTGTCAGAGAGTGGTTATCTGGAGGTGGTTGTCAGACAGTGGTTATCTGGAGGTGGTTATCTGGAGGTGGTTGTCAGAGAGTGGTTATCTGGAGGTGGTTGTCAGACAGTGGTTATCTGGAGGTGGTTGTCAGACAGTGGTTATCTGGAGGTGGTTATCTGGAGGTGGTTGTCAGAGAGTGGTTATCTGGAGGTGGTTGTCAGACAGTGGTTATCTGGAGGTGGTTGTCAGACAGTGGTTAGCTGGAGGTGGTTGTCAGAGAGTGGTTATATGGGGGTGGTTGTCAGACAGTGGTTATCTGGAGGTGGTTGTCAGAAAGTGGTTATCTGGAGGTGGTTATCTGGAGGTGGTTGTCAGAGAGTGGTTATCTGGAGGTGGTTGTCAGACAGTGGTTATCTGGAGGTGGTTGTCAGACAGTGGTTATCTGGAGGTGGTTGTCAGAGAGTGGTTATATGGGGGTGGTTGTCAGACAGTGGTTATCTGGAGGTGGTTGTCAGAAAGTGGTTATATAGGGGTGGTTATCTGGAGGTGGTTATTTGGAGGTGGTTGTCAGACAGTGGTTATCTGGAGGTGGTTGTCAGAGAGTGGTTATCTGGAGGTGGTTGTCAGACAGTGGTTATCTGGAGGTGGTTGTCAGAGAGTGGTTATCTGGAGGTGGTTGTCAGAGAGTGGTTATCTGGAGGTGGTTGTCAGAGAGTGGTTATCTGGGGGTGGTTGTCAGACAGTGGTTATATGGGGGTGGTTGTCAGACAGTGGTTATCTGGAGGTGGTTGTCAGAAAGTGGTTATCTGGAGGTGGTTGTCAGAAAGTGGTTATATGGGGGTGGTTGTCAGACAGTGGTTATCTGGAGGTGGTTGTCAGAAAGTGGTTATCTGGAGGTGGTTATCTGGAGGTGGTTGTCAGAGAGTGGTTATCTGGAGGTGGTTGTCAGACAGTGGTTATCTGGAGGTGGTTGTCAGACAGTGGTTATCTGGAGGTGGTTGTCAGAGAGTGGTTATATGGGGGTGGTTGTCAGACAGTGGTTATCTGGAGGTGGTTGTCAGAAAGTGGTTATATAGGGGTGGTTATCTGGAGGTGGTTATTTGGAGGTGGTTGTCAGAGAGTGGTTATCTGGAGATGGTTGTCAGACAGTGGTTATCTGGAGGTGGTTGTCAGAGAGTGGTTATCTGGAGGTGGTTGTCAGACAGTGGTTATCTGGAGGTGGTTGTCAGAGAGTGGTTATCTGGAGGTGGTTGTCAGAGAGTGGTTATCTGGAGGTGGTTGTCAGAGAGTGGTTATCTGGGGGTGGTTGTCAGACAGTGGTTATATGGGGGTGGTTGTCAGACAGTGGTTATCTGGAGGTGGTTGTCAGAAAGTGGTTATCTGGAGGTGGTTGTCAGAAAGTGGTTATATGGGGGTGGTTGTCAGACAGTGGTTTTATGGGGGTGGTTGTCAGACAGTGGTTATCTGGGGGTGGTTGTCAGACAGTGGTTATCTGGAGGTGGTTGTCAGACAGTGGTTATCTGGAGGTGGTTGTCAGAGAGTGGTTTTATGGGGGTGGTTGTCAGACAGTGGTTATCTGGGGGTGGTTGTCAGACAGTGGTTATCTGGAGGTGGTTGTCAGACAGTGGTTATTTGGGGTGGTTGTCAGACAGTGGTTATTTGGGGTGGTTGTCAGACAGTGGTTATCTGGAGGTGGTTGTCAGACAGTGGTTATCTGGAGGTGGTTGTCAGAGAGTGGTTATCTGGAGGTGGTTGTCAGAGAGTGGTTATTTGGGGTGGTTGTCAGACAGTGGTTATTTGGGGTGGTTGTCAGACAGTGGTTATCTGGAGGTGGTTGTCAGACAGTGGTTATCTGGAGGTGGTTGTCAGAGAGTGGTTATCTGGAGGTGGTTGTCAGAGAGTGGTTATTTGGGGTGGTTGTCAGACAGTGGTTATTTGGGGTGGTTGTCAGACAGTGGTTATCTGGAGGTGGTTGTCAGAAAGTGGTTATCTGGAGGTGGTTGTCAGAAAGTGGTTATATGGGGGTGGTTGTCAGACAGTGGTTTTATGGGGGTGGTTGTCAGACAGTGGTTATCTGGGGGTGGTTGTCAGACAGTGGTTATATGGGGGTGGTTGTCAGACAGTGGTTATCTGGAGGTGGTTGTCAGAAAGTGGTTATCTGGAGGTGGTTGTCAGAAAGTGGTTATATGGGGGTGGTTGTCAGACAGTGGTTTTATGGGGGTGGTTGTCAGACAGTGGTTATCTGGGGGTGGTTGTCAGACAGTGGTTATCTGGAGGTGGTTGTCAGACAGTGGTTATCTGGAGGTGGTTGTCAGAGAGTGGTTATTTGGGGTGGTTGTCAGACAGTGGTTATTTGGGGTGGTTGTCAGACAGTGGTTATATGGGGGTGGTTGTCAGACTGGTTATCTAGGTAATTTATGTTTTCAAATAAAGAATTTAATTTGAATTTTCGCGCCATTCGAAACTTAACTTTCTCCACTTTCACTTCCGCAACAGAAAATTACTTTCACTTCTGTTGCCAAGAGACATTTCCAGCTTATAATATAGATTCCGTCATGTGTGTATAACAATTCACATTTATTTATTTTTTAATTTAACATGAAAGTCTTTAACCATGATAAATATTCAACTGTAACTTCTGTAACTTTACTATAACACGCATGTGCAAGTGCGGAGACCCAAGACGTTGTCATAAACACAGTGAAAATAGTTGGTGCACATGCTGTAGAAAAAAGTAGTGTTAGTGTTAGTGTCAGATTCGCGGCAAGTTGCCAGGTAGGGCAATTCAGTGCATTCCACGTTGTAGCCTTCGTCACGGTTACAGGCCCACTCCATCCGTCCGCAGAAGCCTAGAAATGGTTAGGAATGACGTAATATGTGACCTTTCCCTTGTTCACAACGTTGAGGCAATTCAGGCAGACCCTAGCGAAGCACAGTACTCAGGACGGATTTTTCATGTTAAAAAGTTTGGGAAAAGCGGTATGAAGAAACTGAAGCAACATTTTACACTTAATTTATAGAAACACTCCCATTTGGTAGACTTTGACGTGGAATCCAAGTAATTCTAGTGAATGCGTAATTTAATATGATGCCAAGAACATGTCGATTCGAGAGAAAAATCCGTCCTGAGTACTAGCTTTAAACTCGTAAAAATCCCAAGGTTCTCTTATTTATTTAGAAACCATCACAAAATTTGGTAATGGAACCATTTCTCAAATTATATCAGGATTGATCGACCGAGTTATGTAAAAAAAAAATTATGACCCTTATCTATCCATTGAATGATCCCTTTGAAGCAAAACATTGGTAGCATGTTCAATTTTTGGGTAAATTTTCCCTAGTTTTTTCCTCCACCGGGCGAAAACCAAGGTACTAGGTGGCCCAAGTAAAGTGTTAGTAGATTGAAACGCTGTAGCTTCAACAGTTTTTGTGCTACAAATTTCTAGTAAATTTTAATGGAAAGCCAGTTAATTTTTAGGTAGAAAATAATTTTTGGTTTCCGAAATTTCCTCCCCTAACATTAATGCAGAGCTGAGGACGCGGCCTAAAGACCTCGATTGGAGCACGCTCGGAATCGGTGGACAAATTGCTCCATTTCGTGGTCAAAAATTTGTTTAAAGCTTTCAGACTTCTATATGGCTTAGAACACACCTTTGCCCCTAACTTTGGCCGTTTTTCATAATCCGGGCATTCAAATGCAGAAAGGAGGATGACCATTCCCTAATTGGAGATATAGTCCGGAATTTGGTTTCTTAGGCAGGCTTCGGCCATTTTTTGCACTATAAGCTCGTGCGGAGTCCCGCTAAGAGGTTAAATCGATTCCATTGAAATGGATCTCACTTAGGGCATGTACCACGGACTCGAAAACATTTTTTAAGACATTCGATACCACCACCTTCCCCCCATTTTCAACAAAATGTAGAGAAATTACCCAAATTAGCTCCCACCTGACAAAACCATCAAAAAACCTAGATGATGTGACTTTTCGACCTTTTCTCTATATCAGAGGATATCTTTGACCGATTTTGCTTAGATCAGGTCAACTCGTTTGTTAAAATATTTTCCCGATGTGAAAATCTCCTCATTTGTAAGAAGAATCCTCTTCACTTTTTTGGCGCGTACCGCTTGAGGAGAGCCCTTCATTTCTTTAGTAGGGCTTTCCTTCTGGGTATCATCAAGAGGTGGCAAGTACCACATTTCAAAACCTTAAGTCTAAGGTTCAATTTGAGTACTCATTGGATAATTTGCATCCACAATGTCAGCTGTGAGGCTATTTTCCGTTGGAATTTAGTGAGTTTCTTTGGATTCTGGACTTCAGCGCCTTCACGATGGGTGTGGTCTTTTTAGGTTTTGAAAAAAAATTTCTTCAACTGTTTTTAGTGGACCTGGTCCCCATGAACGTTTTCATAGTCCGTTGGACTAAATTAAAGTGCACGTTCGACTCCAGTCACGTTTTCAAAATTCGCCATTTGTCGTCCAACTTTTTTGGTGAAAAATGGACGTCGCCCGCGTCCTTTCAAGATTTTCCCTGCTGATATGCTTTGCAAGCAATTAAAAACTGATTTATGCTATTTATGTAAAATCGCACGAGGAATCCAACGCACTTATCAGATTTTCATTATCTCCAGCGGTTTTAATATTATTAGCTACTAACACTTAGCCTGGGCCCAGTAAGTAAAACCAAGTTAAATAGACGTGGAAACTTTACTAAAGGTGTTGGTCTTCAAAGGGGTCATTCAACGAAGAGCAAGAATTATACGATTCGACAACGACATACAACGACAATTTTTAAGGTTTACTTTAAGTATATGGATAAGTCAGCCTGGTCGAAAAACGTTGAGGAGACATAATTTTTTGGGTGCCAGGTCACCCCAGTGGTTGTAATGGCCATATCAGCCTTCGATGAAGGTCGTACGGGGAAATTCATAGAAAATGAACCGGTGGGTACTTTTTCAAAATTGGTGGTGTTCTGGATTCACGAAAGTCATACCTCGACAGCTTTTTCGAGTTCTCTCGAAATTTCAGTTTTTCAATTTTTTCTAAATCACTGAAATTTTGATAATTTTGTTCTCATCAAAAAATTGTGCTACCTTATTCTTCGGTAACTGGGTAAAAGGGAGTGGTCATATACCCCGCAAAGTATATATATTCTGAATCCTCTTTCCAAGGCCTTTCCAACTATAACCCATTTATGGGGTATTGTGAGACCATGACCTTTTCAACTTTGTGCCCGCTGAAAAGGTCACGCAGGTCGAATTCGATTTTAATAGTAATTTAACTAGTTTCAGAAGCAAAGCCCTTGGAGAGAGGCTTCAGAATATATATACTTTGTGGGGTGTATGACCACTCCCTGATACCCAGTTACCGAAGAATAAGGTAGCACAATTTTTTTGATGAGAACAAAATTATCAAAATTTCAGTGATTTAGAAAAAATTGAAAAACTGAAATTTCGAGAGAACTCGAAAAAGCTGTCGAGGTATGACTTTCGTGAATCCAGAACACCACCAATTTTGAAAAAGTACCCACCGGTTCATTTTCTATGAATTTCCCCGTACGACCTTCATCGAAGGCTGATATGGCCATTACAACCACTGGGGTGACCTGACACCCAAAAAATTATGTCTCCTCAACGTTTTTCGACCAGGCTGACTTATCCATATACTTAAAGTAAACCTTAAAAATTGTCGTTGTATGTCGTTGTCGAATCGTATAATTCTTACTCCGAAAGGATAAGTGTCATGTTATTTGTAATTTTATGCTTGATTTTTTGACATACATATCTCACTACAAAATCCGGGTGTGGCTTGAAAGAAGGTTCGATTGTTAGACCAAAGTCGTCGACTTATTTTGTAATGGTTTGTAGAATTTGTTTACAAAACGCACAAATTTTATAAGACTGCTTGAATTGCCTCATTGTAACTTAAAACTTATACAATAAGTGTCACTCATTAAAGTGATTTGTATCGTACCAATTAGTTGACCGTATGCAACAGTTGTGACGACAACAAGAATGACAAGAAGCAGGGTAGTCGTCTTCATGGTGTCGGGAATCTTTCTGCAAAGGAAGTAGAAATAGAAATGCATGAATCATAGTTGTGTAAGTATTTTCTTTTTTGCAACAAACGTTATCCTGGCGAAGCTGAGCTTTAAAAAATTAATAAGTATTTTTGCTACACCGAGATTTTCTAGCGAGTTATATCAAAAAGTAAGCAAAAAATTAGGAATCATATGACGCACATCTTTCAGTTAAATAACCCCTTTGAAGAAAAATATTGAACCGTAAAGTTAAATTTCCCTCCAGGGGCGAAAAATATGGCGGGCACGTGACTTTACCCTCCAATATTTTTCCTCAAAGGGGCCATTCAAAGGAATAACAAGCGCCACGTGATTCCTAAATTTTGGCCTGGATTTTTTATATATAACTCGTTATAAAATTTCGGTGTGGCCTGAAAAAAAGTTGCTTAGTCAGTTATCTACGATTCTAAAATTAGTTTTAATCTGGACTTGTACTCATTTGAATACAAGAAGATGGGGAAGTTGAGATACAAAAAGTCAAATTCAAAACCCGCATACAATAGCACCTTAAGCTATGGGACGGGTAGAGTTATTTTTTACCTTTTAAAAGTAAGTTTCTTTTTGCTCAGGATGGGTTGACTGTCACGGCGAAGTTATCACTGATAAATTTTTGGCGAGATCAAGTTAATTTTATAGACGGGTGAATACTTCACAATCAGTAATCCTGGATATAAACGTATATAATCTTGCAAATAATGGTTTTATTACGTATTTAGCCACTGATAAAATGGGCAGGGATGGATTCTGTTAATTCTTTTACACTTTTAAGCCTAGTACTCAGAACAGACTTTTCGCTCGATGTGACAAGTTCTACGGTTTGTATTAATTTCATGCATCACTGGAATTACTTTAATTTCACTACAAATTGAACCAATAGAAGTGTTTTTTGAATAAACGTCTCATAAAAACTATTTGAAATGTCTACATGAAAATGTCTCCTAATATTATTTTGCTGGTCTCATATAAATTTATAACTGACTCGTAAAAAGTTTTATAAAAAACAGCTTTTATTTCATATTTTTATCAGATTTTCAGTGTTTACAAAGCCTTGCTTGTTTTTTTTGGGGCGACCAGGACTACGTCGACCACCTAGTGGAATATCTTTAGCCTCAGGTATACGTTCAAAAAACTTCTTATGACCTGCTAGACCTATTAAATTGTTTGCACACATAAGTTTTCAAAAAGACTGGACAGGTACATATGGATTCTTGATAATTAGAGGTTTTGAACGTCACTTTCTACAGACGTGTTGTACATTGTTGGTAGGTATCATAGCTTTCCCAGGATATCATTTCACAAATTCGTAAGAATTTGTTAACGTCATTCCCCCTTAACTTTGGTTTCCCACTTGCAGATATAAAATGTTGAACTACGTCACCACTTGTCCGATACATATTTAATGTCAGTGACATGCTTATTTTTAAAATACTCAATCAAATCATTTGCGCTTTCCCTATACTTTTGACAGAATAATTCTTGTCCAAGATTAAAGTCCTCAACTAATTTTGCCAGTTGAAGATGTATCACGTCCGTTTTTATATCACCCCACACATTTTTGTTCTTGATAAGAGATTTGTGCAAGTCAATGTTCTTGCATAAATGAAAGCAGCAAAAAAACACGATGAAATTAGGTCCGAAAACTGTCCCAAATGCGTTAGTGATTGATTCTGCTGCATCTGCTATTAGAATTCTGGGAGAATAATTACGTATGGCTTGTGGATACAAATACTCCAAACCACTCTAGATATTCTTCGAAGTCAAACTCGGAATTAATTACGTATGGCTCGTCCATGCTCAGTATTTGTTAGCCTCTGCTTGTTGCCCTCCTAATGGTATTATTTTCTGCCCTTGCATTTTGCGCATTGGTGCCAAATAGTTTACAATTTGAAACTTTTTTTTACAATTAAATCCTGCCGTTGTAAGGACCTTTTGAATCCATATGAGTTGCCAGACTCAAACCGAAGTACTTGGGACGCCATTTTAATTAAAACATAAAAAAAATTAGAGGAAAACTAGTAATACCTCAGAACAAACCATGAGTATTTTGTGTGTACCGTGTGATTGGCCAGCAATCAGGCATTGTATATGGCACTTTAAGAGAAGGAAAAAGATAAGAAATCGTTTAGAAAAAATTATCTAATTATGAGACAAATGTAAATACTAATGAGACATTTTTTTGTATTAAGAGACGTTTTCCATGTAGGCAACTCGAATATTATTTATGAGACAGTTTACCTATATTTAAGAGTCGCTAAAATTTAATGCCTATTTAAAATTTCCACTCGTTTTTAGATAGCACCAAATCATTGTGTGGTATTTTTCATCTCCGGCTCTGGCCCTTCCAGCAACATCAGCCACAATAAAATTGCTAAAGTTGCGTTTAGTTGCATTTAATTTAAAACTAATTAAAATCGTACGTAGATTATGGGTATTAGAAATTAAATAAATATGTATACGTAATTAATTCAAATACAATTGCAAGCATTAAATCAAACTCGTACGACGTGGCGCATATTCTGAGAAGGGTTAAAACAGGTATTTTTTTGCGATCTCAACAATGTTTTTTTTAATGCGTAAATTACACAATGTTGCCGAAGTTTCGTATCCTCATTTTTGCTTACATTTGCCTATGAAAAATCCGCCAGGAGTACTAGGCTTTAGTAATTGACAAACGCTTTACATACCTATTTCTTTTCATCATGACTGGCAGGGTTAAGGTTAAGTTAAGTGCTGGATTAATTTGTAAGGAATTAAATTAATAAAACTAAAATAAGGGAATAGCCTTGCACCCACAAATGCAATTGTTTAATGAGTTTTTGCTCTGACGGTGTGGCCAAGGATTAGTTGTAGAGATAATCGTGCATATTAATGCTGCTACGTAATTTTGCTAATAATTACGAATTTCAGTGTTTATTACTCTCTCATAAAACGGATTCACTCTAATCTACACACCCCTTTATTAAATATATATGGGTTATTATTAATCCACCAGACTTTTAACTGAAATCACATAACTAAATATATTGAAATCGCATAACTTGAATTTACAGTGCTTTGATTCAATTTAAAAACTGTAAAATTGAAATCTGCCAGACTTTTAAAAACCACACATTTTATTCAATTTAAACAATTAAACATTAGAAATTTAAGGCAAACATCAGTTATTTTTTTCTAATATTTCGTAAATAATTTTAGTCAAGTATGTAATGGCCTCTTTGCCTTCGCAGAGCGACCCCTACGTCACTTTGTCTCAACATTCACGGCTTTATCTCTCAGGGTGAAACCTTTCTGGATTATTTCAATTCCAATTAAATGGATATAGATGTACATATAAGTGCAAGCATACCAGTGGGGCTATTTACATAGTAGACAACGAAACCCAGGCACCCCAACTTACTTTTTGAACCAGCTTGTTCCTTGTCGATGCTCTAGTTAACAGATTTTCTTGCAGTTGGAGGTCATATGTCGAGTGTCATAAGATACTCTGTATCAAACAATCTTAGAAATCCAGTATACCTCAATAATACCAAGTCCCAAAAATACCAAGCGGTATTCAGATATGACTCTATACAAGCGGTACTGATATGGTGTAGTAATAGCTCGGTATTAAAGTTTACCATATTAGTAGGAAAGTTTTAAGGAACGATATAATTTTAATACCAAACTGTAGTAACTGTAATACCGAGAAATCAAAATCAATGCTTAACTGTACAAGATTTATTACAGTAAAATACTTACAAAATTCCTTATTGTGTTCGGTTTTCTGCTAACTTTGCACTCTTAGGTTATGGTAGTGTGGTTTACTATTGATTAGCAAAGCAAGGGATGGTGTTATTCACCTGAAAAGTCACGATCTTAATGGTTTTTTGCATATAAATAAATGCATAAGTTATGCAAATCTGTGTCTGATGGATTCAGTTATAGAGGTTGTTTTAAGGCATATAAAGTACTGGAAATTCAAGTTATGCAATTTCAATATATTTAGTTATGTGATTTCAATTAAAAGTCTGGCCCATTAAATGAAACCCAATATATATGTGTATCCCTCACCTACGTCAATGTTTAAAATGTGACGAGCAGAATTAGTTTAGGTGGTGGATTAAATTCTGAGGCACTAAATTAATTAAGCTCGAAGTGTCGATGGTCAAACAATAACATTGTAAAACTAATATTACAAGTCGTCCGACAAATTGATGTACATGCGTCGGAACGAGGACAAATGCAGAAGTATTTGCATTAGATATCTGGATGCTGAAACGTGTTTTCCCAATACATGGATTAAAATCTAAACAATTAATTAAATAGGGATATACATATGAATATGAATATGCTGGATTGTCAATGTTGTAAATATCTAGTTAAGCAAAATTAATAATCGATTTGCAATTTTCTTTGGACAAAATTGTCACAATGGAACCCAAAATGTCAAGTTACGTTGGATGTACATAAAAAAATCAGGCCAAAAATTTGGAATCAGTTAGCACTTATCTATCCGTTGAATGACCAATTGAAGTTATGTACATTCGACCCCATTGGAGAAAATTCCTTGGGGAAATTTAAGGAGATTTAAATTTTTGGTAAAGGTGATATTATCAAAAATAGGCAACCAACTTATTCATCCTGTTATTTAAATCGGTAATATCCGCAGTAATTTAAGTGGATCTATGATCGATGCTGTTAAATTATTAATGTATTTGTCTAATCAGCGCTTTGCTTGCTTAGTTGTTCCGAGATATAATATTATTTAGGGGACATCAATATACATATTACGTCATCAAAAATTCTAGATTTTAGCACCCACCCACCCAACGTATACATTAAGGGATAGGGAATTTCAACATGGGAAAGATAGGAAAACCCAAACCCCTCACCCACTAAAATGATGACGTAATATATGGACTCCTTTTCCTTTATGTTTCCATTGCTTTTCATGCTAAATAATTTATATTTGGTTCTTACCTATTTCTACGACTTTACTGGAATGCAAAATAAGGAAACATAATAGTTTCTCCGAGTAATATGTCATTTTGGTGGAAATATGTGAACAATTGTTGGTCAAAATATTATTATACTTCTGCACGATGAGAAATTGTCAGTGTCTTGGAGGGGTAAGTTCACATATGTAAGGGGACGTTCGTAAACTGCATAACGCAAATTTTTGATTTTTTGGACACCCACCCACCCCCTTTAACATGTGTCACATAGGCACGATATGATTGGGCCCTGACCCCCCACCCACCCCCCTTTGCGTTACGAAGTTTACGAACGTCCCCTAATTAATGTACTCTCGTTCTAATATTTGCCTTTTTTGTATGGCTGAATTTCTTGATGTGCCATGCTTCTTTAAGTTATGGATTAACGTAAACAATGGGTAAAATACATTTGTCAATTACTGCAGAACTCAGCATAGTGATTTATTTTATACCCGCACTGTCTAGGGTGACCATACGTCCCGGTTCAGCCGGGGCATGTCCCGGTTTTCGAAACCTGTCCCGGCGTCCCAAAAATGTCTCGATTTTCATAAAGTGTCCCAGTCTTTAAAATAGTAAGAAAAAATTAAATTATCTCGCTTTTTCGCCAAAATATTGATGAAAAGGTAGATTTTAGCATATAAATACCAGTAAGGTGCATGTAAAATTTACCTAATTGCCT